TATATATATATATATATATATATATATATATATAATCATTAAACAGTTGGTCCTCTGTATAATACTGAATAATAAATTAGGCACAGTGTTCTAACATTATTCACACACCTAAATTAATTTAGGTTACCTTATGGTGATTTAAAAAGGACTTAAAAACCCCATAAATATTATTTTTAAATGTCATTAGATAGCAGAAACTTTCAGATGATTAAAAAGATCATTAATGTGGTTCTTACTCTTAGTAAGGTTTTGTACGAAAGATTAATTATCAAGTTTTACTCTATTGGTATTGATGGAAAGGTTGAAAGAAATTAAAAATTTCTTAGTCATAAAAACCACAGACTAGTTTTTGCATGAATTAAGTGTGACTAAGGTTTCACAAAGGTTCTGTTTAATAATCATTGTCATGAATTATTTATATAAATGATATCTATGTAAATGTAGGCTATAATTTTAAGACAAATTTGTAAGAAAAATATCAAGTTGTTCAGGAAAGCTAAAACTATATCTAATAAGTAATCTTGCAAATAAGAATGTATTTTAAATTTGAGAAGTGTAAAGTTATTCACTTAGGTTATTGAACCTGGTAAAAATTTGTTTGTTGTGTTCAATGATGGTATCATGGAGAAGAATTTAGGTGTAATGGTGTAATTTTTGAGAAAAGCATGAAGACTTGGGCAGTGTGTGTGGCTGATTTTACAATGAAGCTAATGAATAATAGGTTTGGAGAATTCGAATGAAGAATATTTCAATTTAGGACTAATAAAAAGTTATGTGAGTTTACATAACACTCGTGTTTACCTCATTTTGTCAAATGTATTCATTATTACAAAAAAGATAAAAATGAGCCAGTAAGGAAGCAGAGCTGGGCTACCTAGTTTAAAAAACTGAGCTACAATGAGAAACTTAAAGTTTTAATTATTTTTGCTGGCTTATACAAGAGGCAACTGTGATAGGATTAATCTGATCAAAGTTTGAAAAGGCTACATATGTAGGAAGTCTTTTATGGTTTTCCAAGTAATAAACTTTTAGTAATGGTGAATTGGATTTCCAATTTATAAGTGGATATTTAGTCAGATGTATTTCTTCTACACAACTGTACAGTAATGAAGTTTATGCATTTATAGTTTAGTTCCTCTTTGTAAACTCTAGTTGAAAGAGTACATGAATCTGGAGGAGCAAATATCACCATTGTTTTAGGAATATAGAAAAAATAAACTGAAGGGCATGCTGTCAAAGTGCTCATTCATATTTTGATTCATGTATCAAAGAATATTTAACAACTACCAATACATATATATAAATTCAACAAATAAGATCCAAGTACACAATGTTCATCACAATCCATTCCGACAAACTCCAAGGAGACAATGTCCTAGTAATTCATTCAATAAATAATATGTAGTACAAACTTGCAGTATACATTGTCTTAGTACTTCATACTGTCATGAACAGTTAATAATAAGTAAGTTTACCAGAGAACTGTAATAGCACATATATAACAACATAAAGGATAAAGCCTCAGGATATCATATAGTGACTATAAGATCTATTAACAAAGTATACTTATAAACAAATCAAGAAAGATTCTCAACATCACATTGATAAACAAGCAAGTCAAGCTGTAAAATAAAATATTTTGGTAAAACAAGTTATGTAATTATTTATAAATATTCATACTTAAGGTATAAAAAAAACTAATATACTCACCAGTTCTTGAAAAATGTCTTTGACTTTATACTGAGAGAAATCTGGAGGTGTTAGGGACAGTTGGTATTTAGTTGATGCTGAAAACCACAACAAAAGTTATCTTAGAAAATAACAACCATATCATACGTACTTTATGGCAAAGAAACTGTGGTTTGACACCTGAAACATCTCTAATCCAGATTTAGAAAAGCATAAACAGTCTCAGTACAACTAGAGTCAGCATGGGTTTCAAATACACTGAAAGTTTAAATTTCTACTTCTTAAGAAATTCATTCTTATTGATATAAATACATGTTAGAGAAAGAACAAAATTGTTACAAAAAAGTTTTATTTGTTAATTATCTAAAAACTTAAGAACTGCATAAATCATTAAATTTTGTAAATTGCCACTTTACAATATCTCATTATACATTTAGATATTCATTTACCATACATTATTGGCATATGCATTTAAACTTTCATCTTAAACTACATGTCACTGTAATTCCACTAAGAAAAGAGAAATAACAGATGTTTATCAAACATTAAAGGAGGAAATAAATTGTTTAGAAATTATAATTTACACAATGTGAACTATGCTTTTGTCATTTTTTAAAGCACTCTTTAAAACCATGGATACAATTTCTTTGTGCATTGAGCATAGATTTCAAAACAGATTGATAAAGGTATTTTTATTTAAAAAATTTAATATTCAAGATACTCCTATTTTGACGAGTCTTTACAAAAACATGATTAATGTTAAGCACAACATTCCTAAAGCCAAGGTCAGTTATAAATTACGAATGATAGATGAACTCACCTTGTATATCTGGTGGATCAATTATTTCCTGAAAGTCATCTTCTTCTTCAATATCTGCATACCTATTGAGTGTAGCATCATGATCAACACGTAGCCGATTCTGCAATGTATCGACTTGACGCAACTGGCGGCACATTCTGTGCAAACGTAAAGCCTCTTCGTGAAGATAAAGAGCCTCCCGAAGATGTGCCTTTCCTGTTTTTAGGTAAGAAGAGAGAAGGAAATCTGTGATGTGCCAAATTCTCATTGAATGTTTAGTGTCAAAAGCAAGAGATGTATTTGCAATAACATTTGTTTTCTTTTGAAAATGGCTAGGGCATACATATATAAGTATTTTTAAAATTTTCTAATACTAACATTCCTTGTGCCAGTACAACAAATACTGAGTTACTTAAATTCTTTTCCAAAGAGAACTAGTACAGCAAGTTAAAATGATGTTTCATAGCCTTTAAAAGACTGAAAAATAGATTATCCCGTAAATTAATAATAATAATATTAATCAAGCTTTGACACGTTAGTACATCATAGATAATTAATGATAAAAGAACAAATCTCTTACCTAGTTGTCTGCGTTCATCTGTGTTCTTAGGAACGTTAATGTCAAAAGGGGTTGTGGTGGTTTTTTGGTCTTGTCTGTGTAAAAATGCTAAGCCTAGCTTTGCTGAGTCACTTAATTCGCCTGAAAGCCAAATCAGAGAAAAAAGAATTAACAAATGAGGTTTAATAAAAGATACTATGATCTAACATCATTAATAACAAGTTGAGGGGATGTTAGATAAATATATAGTAAACCAATGTAATAAGCAGTCAGTTTAAAAAAAAAAGCTATTTATTGTTTATCTATACATTTTATTATTTCAACTACTTAACAGTGTAAATGACTTTAATATAATTGGGTTGTACTGTAAAATAACAAGCATATCATGTTTTAATAAGTGCAAACAAATACATGGCTTACAAGTTCTTAAGTGATAAGTATTAAAATAATACCCAGATTTTCTTACCAAGTTAAATGTAGTTATTTAACGAAAAAAGAATAAAAATTGGAGGGCAATTATCTGAAGATTGTTTTAATTGTATGAAATATGAAAAACAAAATCCACTTACCAATGTGGTCCAAAAGACCAACAGCAACATAATAATGAGCCAAAGCTTTATAGTGTTCAGACTTTACACAAACAAGACTAATCCACGAATATGGTACATAATTCTTGACCGTTGGCCTCGACATCACTTTATGGACATGATTATATACCTCAGATACCTAACAAAAGAAATTCGAATTTGTTTCAAAACGTGCAATTAATTATAGGAAACATCTTGAAAACTGTAATGATTATGTTATTAAGAATTAAATAGCAATTCCTTCAAGTGTTAACAAACAATATTTTTAGTTTTTAATTTTTTTATCTAACAGAGTTTGTTTATTCATCATTAAGTACAAAGCTGCAAAATGCACTATTTGAGCTGTATCTACTGATAGAATCAAACCCTAAATTTAATGTTATAAGCCTTCAAGCTTACTCATGAATCATTGGAGGGGGCTTAAAATAAAGATTTCAGCTTTAAATATGACATTCTGAAAAAAAAAACAGAACTAAAATGTTACACAATGGGGAATCTTTTATATTTAAAATCCCTGTGTCATAGTTAGTTGTAAAATAAGCCCACTGTTACACATAATAACCAGATTTTTTAAACGATAGAATAACACCTTTAATACAAACCTCAGCTGCTTCTTGAGCAGTGTCAAGACAGATTTCAATCCCCATCTTCTCCACCGGGGTCAACGATAATTTTTCAAACAAACATTCTCTTGCTTGGGCCTTTAACAAAAAATGAAAATATTAGAAATATGTCATCTGAGGTACAATTTTACAAGACATTCACAACAGGAAAATAACAGTATGTTAGAGCTGAATGAAGTTAAATACTTCAGAAACAGTACTTCATTAGGATAAAAAGAATATACAATTGCTGAGTAAACTAACAAATGAACATGATAAAAATATGGCTATTGAAATATAAATTAATAATGCAGGTAAGTTAAGCTTTACTGGGTGATTTAAAGCATTACGTACAGCAAAAAGATAATAATTATTAAAATAAAAGAAGGAAAACAAGTTTTTAAAATAGTATATCTAATGAAAATTTAATTTCATAATGTGAATTATTGTTACAACACGCATACAATTCCAATAAATAGGATATGAGAAACACAAAAGTTTTATCAGTATAGAAATGACACACAACTATTAAAAGAACAGTACATCAAAATATAAACACACTAGCATAAGGTAAGTCAATGTTTCCAAGGTATCAGGAGCTAAGTCCATGCTTGGAGCATTGCTGAAGTTTTCTCGGATGTAGCAGAACATTCCAGCTGCTCGAAGAAAGCTGTCAACAGCAGCATCAACTCCAGGACTTTTTGTTCGATTCTATAAATTACACACAAAAACAAATCAGACCTGATGAATAAAATCACATTTCACCTGAGAAAAGGCTATTTAAACTGATGAGGATTGTTGCTGAGGTATTTTTCATATAAGCAATATCAAAAATATATATAATGTAGCAAGATTTAATATAATTTTTGCAAAGAGGTATGGGTTATTAATTTCAAGGAATAAACAGAATAGCAATCATAGAACTGTAAAATAGCTGAGCAACTTCTGTAGTGTTTGTCGTATTCAAAACTGAGCAAATATTATACATATTTTAACACCAGGAAATCTATGTAACTAAATGAAAGAATTATTAAACAATGATTTCAGTGACCTTTATTTGCTATAATGAGGCACAATCTAAAATACATTCATAAAAATGTACATTATTAGTTTTATTGGTACTTTTACTCAACTGACAAAGCTGAAAACATTCTGTGGGCCATATAAATGTAGTAACTAAAATAAAATTATTTCAAGTTTAATAATAAACCAATTTTACATAAACAAAATATTTTACATTTAAATTTTTTATCAATAATTAAGCAAAAACACTTTTCTTTAAACATAGAAATGCAATTCAGTGTCTTTTATGTGAATTATTTAAACTTAAAGTTATCTTCGTATTAAGAAGTGGATATCTGTATAAGACTCATAATGTAAATTAACACCAGTAGACAGTTTAGCATTTTTAAAATAATATAATGATATAACTTAATTGATACAATAATTCAACTTCTAATGATTTTAATCTTTAGTTCTAATCTCTTACCTGTTTAGCTCCAATTTGAGTATATAGGGAAGCAATATTGAAGAGGATACTAGCTTTTTCAAACGCTATGGTTTTCTGGGTACTCGGTACACCTGTCAGTGAGTCAAACCTAGGGAAGGATTAGTCACTTAATATATTTTATTTGTATTTGTTACAAATCTAGACACTTATATAAGGAAACATCTCTGCCCTTCTTAATGTTATCAGATAAAATGTTAAATTACTTATTTAACAGAAAAAGTGTTTAATGTGCAGAAATAAATGTCACCATAACTTAAATCAGCTCCCACATTTATCATTTACCAGTAATGTTTCATATATCTTTTTTTTATACAAATTTATATAACAAAAATATCAAAATCAAATGTTATTACGATGAAGTAATAGCTGATACTAAATTATTTTGAAGAAAAAGAATACAAATAAAAAAATTTCAAAAGATAAAATATTTTCAACAAAATCCAACTGAATAGTGGCACAAACCAACAGAATTAAATAATCTTCAAGCCTACTGGATAGCAATGTTTTTATTCCCACAGCTTAGATCAATACATGTGCTATGCAAATGCTAACTATCTCACTCTTCTATTATACATTTACTTTTTATTTAAAATTTTTCTCCAATTCTAATTCAGAAATTTAAAATTGATTGAGATTCTGTGCCCATTTCACTTAAGTATTATTTTCTGTAGTAAGTTCCACTTGTGGAAGCTAGCTACTGTTTCATAGGACAGTTGTATTATGTCCTAATTCCTAATTACCCTATATATATGGAAGTGTCATATGGAGCAGAGATACTTCTGGTCTGCTACAAAAAGAATTTTTAGAAGTTTTGGCATTTTCAGCCAAATTCCTTTCTTCCTTAGAGTCAAGACTTACTGTGTCTCTCCTGATATTCCTGTGTCTTGTGATGCATACTGATTATGCCTGTTTCCTTACTATTAACCAGCCAAACCATCTTCAGCTTATTTTTCAAGTAACATTCATTTTTATTTTATTACCTTGTTATTCTTGTTTAATTTTTAATTATATGCTGTTTTCCTATCTATTTTCACAACTTTACCACAATGCAACACTGCTTCCATAGTCATCCTTTTTTCTACTTTTATATTTCAATTTCACACCATGATTTGTCTCTTTCTCTCCACCAGCAAAAAAATCAAAACAGGTCTGCAAATATCTGGTTATTATAAAGATCAGGTAACTGTGTGCTTGGCTTATCTTTGGAATACTACATATATATAGCTACAATAAAAGCCGATGCAGAGAAAACAATAGATAAAGTTAGGACACAATCACTTAGAAAGATAAACTGTTACTTATCAACATGAGAAATTGAAACTACATGATGTATGGCTCTTGTGAAAAGTCTTTCAACCTTTGTATCTCGACTGAAAAGTCACCTCAGTGACATAATACAGTGTTTTTTTGTAAATTCTTTACAATTATAGACACATGATATGAAAAATGTAGTTTTATTTTTATGAAAACAAATATCTTCTGCCAATCAAAACCTTAATAATGATGTCATCATACTTTAATAACCTATTTTTTTTCTGTAGGTAAAAAGTTATGAAGCTTAAAACAAGAAATAAATAAAACAGGATTTTAACCCATATATATATCTTATTAAAACAGATTATGTAATACAAAAATCATGTATGTTTAAACTTATATGTTTAACTTTCTGATATTCTTAATGTGGTATGCATTACAAAGTTTCCCTACTAAACTGAGATATCCTCTTCAATAACAGAGACCGACTATAATCTACCCTAAAACTAAATGGGTCAATTATTGACCCTATAACTATAATGATTACATATACTAGTTAGATAATTATTTATTTTATCAATAGAGGGGATACAGACCATTCAAAAAATATGCCCAGGTTTCGATGTGGGGGGAAAAATCTTCTTTCCACATAGTAGAGCAAGTTGTAATACTCAAACAGCAGTTGCACACCACTTTGGTCACGAGAAGGAGTTTTGAGAGCCTGAAATCAAATCAACACCAACAAAATATGTTTGTTATATAATCCATTTATCAATTTCATAATTCTAATCATATCATATATTGTTGAACCATAAATAAAATGAGATAAATCAACAATTTATTTTTTTATCATAATTACATAAGTTTAAATAACATGTTTAACTTAGCAGAACACAACAATGAAAAATTTTTTGCAACAAAATTTACAGTCACCTTTCATCTGGATATACTCCCAACTACATTAAATAGATGGCCCCCTTCCCTATGATATTGACACATTTTTACCCTGAATTTCTTGCATTAGACAGGACAATAAGACAAAAGAAGATTACTGTGAAGTGGAATGGTAAAGTTCATGGGCTGATTTAGTTTCTAGTGATTACAAAAATTGTTATCAAAGAAATAAGATATTTACCTGTCGTATACCCATGAGCTCCTGAATTGAGGTTTCATAATGATTTCCATCTTCTCTGTAATGTTCCAAGATGAAGTCCTTCCAATAGTAAATGTTTAATTAATAAATATTCTTATCCACTTACGCACCAACACATAAAACAATGTACCATGAAATTAAAAAAAAAACAGTATAGGTATACTAATTAATATCAACAGTGACAAATTTAAATATGTAGGCAAGTGATAATTAATACTGAATTGCAGATGGATTAATGAGAAAATTCTAAACCTCTGGGCTTCTTATTTGTATGCATTTAACATTAGTACTAATTGTTTCATCAGTTTCTCATTTAATACTAACCAATTCAACATGCATTACATTTTACTGCACAAAATTTATGGTTATTGAGCACCTTTGATTTATTTTACACCAATAATTCTAAATGATTATGTATATACAATAATGTATATATGTATATATATAACACTGAAATGAACTGAAACATATTTAAAACTTCAAGTACAATATGTATCTTTTATTTTTATATAAATATAATCGACCCCTAACTTAAAACACTGGCAACATCCAAGATTCTAGACCAAACTAAATTCCATTAACAAACATTGCAATAGAAATAATGCAAACCACAATAATATTTACATACTTTGAATGGTTCCACAAAATTGATGTCTTTAGTTTCTTTCAAGCCAAGAGGAATCATTGGAACTAACTGTTGGGCACTATCACAAACAAAGCAAAATATCAAGAAAGATTATGTAAAGTTTAATCTCATTCATTTTATTGTAATGTACCTAAATTATAAAACAGGTAATAGAGATGGTGATATGATGAAAAACAAAGTTGTGAGAAAGAAAGTACAGCAAAAATTATTATTTCTCAAAATTATCTTCACAGCGGGTAAATAAGAGTGCAGCTCTGTAGTGAGGTTTGTTTGACAATCAATTAATTTGTTTGCATATTTAAACTTCCAAAACATAGGTTGTTCGATATAGTTCTGTCAGTTTTTTTTTCATGAATATTAACAGAATTAACATAATGATAAATGGTTGGTTATTTAATACCTTTCATCCTGATACATTTGCACAGAACTGTTTAATTCAGCCAGCTGTTCTTTCAGAAGCTGCAAGTTGGAGTTAACAAAACTCAGCTCCAAAGCCACCATTTCTTGCATTTTCTTATTTGTTGTTACTCTGAAATTTAGTTTTGAACATATATTTTATTCAATTAAAATAATAATTCTACAGAGACTAGCTAAAATAACAAAAATAAATCATTTAAGTTCATTATTGGCATTTTAAAACTTGAAAGATTTCACATAACTGAGTCAGTTTAATTAAATGATCAAATGAAAAGTGTCAAACGTATTAACTAAATAAACACGTATATGTACACTTCTTGATTAAGCTATAATAATGATTAAGATAAAATCTTCAAGAACAGATATTCTGATATATAGTTACGATTGTTTCCACTAGATGGTAGAACAAACTCAAATTTTCAATAATTTTAAGTTACGGTTGATCAACTTCAGATAAAAGTAAAAAATACGTATATTACTCTTGGCTGAATGTGACTTGATGATAGAAAAACCAAAAATATTTTTTTCAATTGCAAACAACTGTATAATTTCAACGTTACTGACAAATTGGGTTATAGAAACTTTGCATTAACTTTATTAAGTACAAAAGGTTGTAATGGTTGGTTTGATGTTAGACACAAAGCAACCTACACAAGTGCTATCTGTACTCTGCCTACAACGGGTATAGACACCTGATTTTTAGCAGTGTAAGGTCACAGACTTACCGCTGAGCTATTGAAAAGCAAACTAGTAAACACTAGATAAGACAACTTTTTCTAACTTGACCTCTGATTGATGAAATAATATTTACTCACAAGAGAAGTGCCTCATTTTTATCATATTGGAAGATAGACTTTAGCGTAGACTACTTGTCTGTGGTTCTAATGCTATCCTAATCAAGGTTTATCATTCTGAACTATACGAACCAAATAAATGTATCTTTTTATTTATAAGCTATGTTGTCCTTTTTTCAAGTTTTAGGAGCAATACCTAGCTATAGCTCTCAAGAATTGTTGGGTTACTCAAGCTAAATGCAAAATCAAGTGCTTCTAGCTGATTCAAACTGTTTACTTACAATTTGATGAATAATTTTAGTTTTATAAAAAAATACTTAGTATAAGTACGACCATAAAATCGGGAGTTCTCATTTACATTTTACTCGCACAAAACAAAGAAATGTTTCAGTTGAGCGAAAACCAAAACACACCACTTCACCATACATTTTTTACACCTGCTTATTTTTTATAAATCATTGGGAAACTATGTATTATATATGCATGAATCAATATAATTTATCGAAGGGAGATCATCTGCATGTAATGCAGTTGCTTACACTCAAAGATGCCTTACGTCATAAACCCAATTAGTTTGCATAATGTCTTATATTTGTTGTTAGATTTTTATTTTGTGCCATGCATGGGCAAACAAAGCATCTGCAATCAAGTTTTCATGTCACGTATAATGACTAACAGTAATACAATCAACGCCCAGACATATCGAGTGTAACTTATGCACTACAAATGTCACTACGCCCTTAAAACTTGTGTAAAAATCGTACCCAAGTACCTTATATTTACATCGCTAACACAGATAAGGAAGTCGATTCACAAAAGTTGAGTTTATAAACAAGGGTTCCACACGGTAGTGATCCAACAAGTTCTTTCTTTCCATCTTAATAGGCAGCACACTTGTAAACCTTCTTTTCATTTCACTGCCGTTAAGAACTGATCTTTCAAGTGTTATCTACAAGAAATCAATAGGTATGCCGCGCTTCGTGCAACGAATTGCTATATTTTTTTCCCCCTTTCGGCTATGCATGTGCAAGTTAGCTTGTTGACATCCTAGAATGCAAGTCGAATTACTTAAGTAACAATTATCTTAATAAAACGGTTAATTAAAATAAAAATTATTGTTGTAAAAATTTTAAAATGTGTTCACTGGAAGGAATGCAGGTGGACACATCACATTTAGGAGGGTAGGTGGGCACATCACATTTGGAAGTAGGGGATAATACGTTTTATTTAAAAAAAAAAAAAGATTAAAAAATATTTTACATTGCAGCTCTTTTTGGGATACCGTAATTATACATCTCGTCTAATATCAAGTACAAACATTATTAATGTTGATGTAACAGACGCATAAAAAAAATGAAAAAAATTATTTAATTCCAAATAATAATTGGACGAATGGAAGATGTAGAAAGAAATTACTAGAGTTGAGTTTGTTTGAAGTTATGTACAAAGCTACACATTGGGCTATCTGTGCTCTGCCCACCACGGGTATCGAAACCCGGTTTCTAACGTTGTAAATCAGCAGACATACCGCTGTGCCACTGGGGATTGAGACAATTGACTTTATAACTACGTTTTGCGTTAATTTTAAAGTAGCATGTAAACTCAAGTCTCATCATTGCAAATACAAGCAACATCTTAGTTCTTTTAAAAGTTAACTATTATATGCTTTACATGCATGTTAATAAAAATTGATATTACGTCTATTCAATTACCTTTACATCGTTAATGGAAAAAAATGTATGTGCTTTTCCTTGAATAGCGAATATAGAGGAAATTTCGTTTAGAGACAACATGATTTAACAATTACCTAAAAACATTCTTAATGACAAGCCAATTTAAAGTGACGTACGACAATGAACGTTATTAAACTGGAGATGGCAAAGGCTTGTCGAAACGTTGTACTTGTAATATAGTTTCATTACCCATTCAAGCTCTCTCTCCACATTTCATTTTCTAAAAGTGAATTCTTTATCTCAAATTATCCTACCGTTGTTCAAAGTACTCATCACATGAAATTTAAATATTCAACCTGAATACCTTATACGTACTTACCTAAACAACCAGGTCAGAAACTCCTAGGGTTCAGGAATAACCGTGCCTAATTTTAATTTTGAACTACTGACCAGAAAGACAATCAGCTAGAAGGACAACACTGGTAAATTGGTTTGCATTCTTAATTAACTTTTTCTTCTTTAATCAGTTAAACTGATGAGGAAGAGTACAACCACATAAAATAAACAGATTATTTGTTTGTTTGGAATTAAACACAAAGCTATACAATGGGCTATCTGTGCTCTGCCCGCCACGGGTATCGAAACCCGGTTTCTAGCGTTGTATGTCCGCAGACATACCGCTGTTCCACTGGGGGGGGGGGCAAAATAAATAGAACTTGTGCTCTCAATATCATATAAAACGACCTGTGCTGAAACCTCTGACATACTTAAGTTTACACTTCATCTTGAAATCTTACAGAATCCTCTTTTACGTGCTGGATCCCAATCTAAAGGATTTTACTTAATATACTATTAGGCTGAGAATGAGATTACTGAACTATTTTACAGACAAATATACATATAGGTGGGCTAAGATAAACCTACTAATCCACTGGCCAGAACAACACATTAGTTTGCATGAACTAAGAATAAGGTAATTATTTACATAACATTTCAAGGTTCATCTACCATAGCATCTCAATTTTGAGACAATATTCACAAACTGGACAAACCAATTCTATAATAGGGGTCACTGAGTATTAACAATGTGGAGCTTTAATTTGTGCGGGTGAATAGAGTTAACACTTATCACACTGAGAGATACAATCAAATAAGATTCGTAATATTTCAATTATGAATTGAAATATCATATATCGGTGATATTTCCTTTTCAACACAGCTGTGTTGGTTTTAATTGATGCAGAAAAGTGACTTATGTTTGGAGAACAGACGTAAAAATGTGATAAATATCTGTACCACTGTTGATTCTGTGATATATATATATATTTCAAGCTTAAATGAGCTCAGGCACTAGACGAAAAGTCTCGTCGGCACAGGATATGGCAGATATAGTGTGTTTGACATATTGTTTTACATTCTTCTTCACTTACAATCTTAAGTTCTTAGAATTATTGTTATCCAAACGTACTTTTGATATATTTTTAATTAAATAATTGCATACTAAACGTGTCGCTTAAATTCAAATTAAAAAGTTGAAGTCTATTTGAAGCATGTAAGTTCATTTTGAAAAAGAACAGTAGTCTTTTTCTTTTGTTAAGCACAAAGCTATACAATGGGCTATCTGTACTATGCCCACCGCAGGCATTTTTAGCGTTATAAGCACTCATACTTTCCGGTGAGCCACCAGAAGGGCAAAACTATAGGAAAACGTAACACTATAATGTGTATGAAATATGTTTCGATATTTTGCATTACTCTAAACCCGTAGTTTTTAGAACATTCTACGGAACAACAGCTTAAAGAGAAAGAATCTTGTTGTTTTTTTTTACTTTAAATTTGTACAAGTACATACTTAAACAATTTTTCAGCCCCGTTTCTCATCATCATTTCCTTGTTCATCTCTTGGTTCAGCTTAGAGCGTCTGTATTGAAGCTTACCCCGACAGGTAGCAGCACGAGGATCAGATCCCTGAAAGACAAAAAAAGTTAATTTGAAAACCAGTTAGACAGTCAAAATGTAAGCATTAAACTGAACACATTATATATATACACACACACGGTATGAAAATTGTAATTCCAGCAGTATGTATCGCACTTTTCGACAAAAGATTAAAGTTCTTAGAAAATAGAATGAGGTTAGTACAAACTTTCTACAATAAAAAACATCGTAGCTACTGGAATTTATTTTAAACACACATAAACATTTTCACATAGCAAAATAAAGTTATCCAAACGTAATGTATGTATTAATTCAATATTTTATGAATGCTATTAAGACTTAAGTCTGCCACTGAAGCGGATCGAAAATTGTTTGGGACAGTGAAAAGAATCACAGCCAATAATAAACAACACGACTAGTTAAAATAAAGAAAATTAACATTATTTAATAAAACCGGTAACGATTATTGTAGATTTACATTTTATAAAAATGATTTAAGCAGTACTCAAAGGCAGCGCAGCTATTATAGTTGAACAATGGAATTCTGGGTAATATTTCAAACTGCCATTGTTTCGTAACTGCGTAACTTGTGACATACGGTGAATGAGTCAGATAACAAAAATTCATGAAAATATTTTACAAAGATCGATACACTAAATATAACAATTAATTATTTCTAAATTCATCAGATGATTTTATGACATGTACAATTTAATTAATATAATATTATATATCACTATATTAAAAGTTATTTTAAAAGTATATTTAAGTTGTTTAACATGACTTGGTATAAAAGCAAAATGTTTACTATGTTGTTCTCTCACTACTTTAGCATTCAAATTACAAGATCTAGTGACTCATAATACGTCATAGGCTGTTTTGTAAAGCATTATACTCATTACTGGATACAGTAAACACAAGAAGGGAAAAAAGGTAGAATTATACATGTAAGTAAACATGTAATTTATGTTTATATTATATTTATTGAAATGATGAAGCTTTAATCGCTAATATAAAACGTTTGTATCAAGAGTCAGAAGGTGGAAAATGCAAGTAAAATAAAATAACACCGTTTTTATATCAATATGGTATATGTGACGCAACTGAAAAGTTAGTGATTAAAAATGATTTGAGTTAGCTAACTTAAGATAAAAGATAGTTATTAACTCATGTGGAGAAACAAGAAGCGCTTTTTAACAGAAGATATTAAACTAAGACGTGTATATAAGCTTCCCTCCCCAAAGATGGCTCAACTTCAAATCTGAGGGCATATAACACTAAAAACTGGGTTTCGATAGACGCGGTGGGCAGACCACAGAGAAATCCCATTTTGTAGCATTGCGCTTAACAACAAATAGCCCCCAGTGGCATAGCGTTATGTCTGCGGACTTACAACGCTATAAACTAGGTTTCGATACCCGTGTTTGTTTGTTTGTTTTTGAATTTCGCGCAAAGCTACACGAGGGCTATCTGCACTAGTCGT